TTGGGCACCTCGGCGTGGTGTAATGGTTAGCAAGCTTGTCTTGCTAGATCAGTTACTACTGAAAAGTGAGTGCGATCCTCACTGGATGCCTCATGCTTTCGGCCTTGTGCCACATCTAAGCTACGCTTGGAAAATCTTTACTAGCTGCGACCTGTTCCAGCTAAACAGTCGAACTCTCTGCCTTCTGAGAGAAAGGAACCCGGACGAGGCTCCGCCGAAGGGCAGAGTCTCGTCCGCGGAGGTAGACTTCCCCTGAACCCGTTTATGCGGGTTCAAAAAGGGAATATTTTTGGCCGAGCCTACGGGCTCGGAGAACCCACGTTAAACCGGCCTTGTACCACATGCAACCCTCGTGGGGAGGTAGCTAAATATACTAGTTGAAATCTTTTCAACTGTTCTGTCGAACTCTCTGCCAGAAGGCAGAGAGGAACCCGGATGAAGCTACGCCGAAGGGCAGAGTCTCGTTCGGGGATGTAGACAGACCCAATCCCGTTTATGCGGGGTCTACGGGGATTTTTTGGCTGAGCGTACGGGCTCGGGAACCCCACATTAAATTCGGCCTTGTGCCACATGTGACTGCGTGGGACAGTTGCTATATACTCTAGCTGGAATCTTTTTTAGTTGTACTGGTCGAACTCTCTACCTCTGAGCAGGGAGGATCCCCAGACGAGGCTATGCCGAACGACGGAGTCTTGTCTCGGGAAGCAGCTACTCGACCCCGTTTTATATGTGGTCAATGGGGAATTTTTGGCTGAGCCTACGGGCTCGGATACCCCACATTATACTCGGCCCTGTGCCACATCTGATCGCATGGGGATGTTAGTAAATATACTAGCTGGGATCTTTTCCAGCTGTGCTGGTCAAACTCTCTGTCTCCGGGCAGAGAGGATCCCCAGACAAGGCTATGTCGAAGGGCAGGGTCTCGTCTCGGGAAACAGCTACCCGACCCCGTTTTATACGGACTCGGATTACCCCACATTAAACTCGGCCTTGTGTCACATCCTACTCCGTGGGGAGGATGATAAATGTTACTAGTTGGGATCTGTTGAGTACGACCCAGATTTACGCGTGAACTACTGACCTCCTAATAGTAGCCCTCACTACTGGATTGACTTGCGACGACCTTGTGCATAACTGTTACCTTTATTCTTATTGTACTGGTTTTGTACAATAAACCTTTACTTATTTTATCCACCTTGTTTTTCAAGTATATATTCCTATTAGCACGGAATATAACACAATATTGCATGAACGTATTACAATATTACAAAAGATATGAAGTCATGGAGAGCCATGATCATAAACGCCCAGAAGGGATAGGGTACATAGAAGAAGAATAAAGGCATTTTCAGGCATAGCCTGAAGTTTTATGCACGTAATCAACACTCCATGAAATAAATGAACTGTATAAAAGCGAATTTTATTGTTAAAATCTTTATGTTCTTTCTATGAAGAAGGAATGGAGAAATTATGATGTAAAAACTATTTTGTACGTTTAGTACAAAAGGTGATATGAACTCAATACTCATGTGTTTGGTAAATTCTTAAGCAGTCAGAAGAAAATTAACCAATTTCATATGTTAACGCGTTTACAAAATAGCAAGTCGTAATATAATTGAATCAACATATTACAGAACATTGAAATAAAAGATAAACTGAAACAACTGCGCATGATTTAACTACGACAATTTACCAATCGCACACTGTAAATGTTCCTCGAAATATTAGTATGTAAAAATGTTACCTATAAATATTAAATATAATAAAGTAAAAAATAAATGTATTTAAAAATATTTAGTAGCAAAGGATTTTATCATTAAAAATAATTTATTAAAAAATAAATCTGCAGACGATTTCAATATAGAAATAATAACGTCTGCTCTTTGAATTTTTGACTTTTTTCCCACCATCGTTAATCTCATATCGGGAAAGTAATTAAAAATAATTTTTTATGCTTTATGTTTTTTCCCGATAATACATGATTTTATAGAATTATATTGGACTATTATTAGTAAGGTTAGTGGATCGAGAACAGTCTATCCCCGTAGATTAAATAAAGGGTTCAGTTCAGAATCTCCTGTAGGTTACCCAGGTCGATAAACTCCTGATGAAAGCCAAGAGGCACAACGGCCGAAACGCTGCGATACCAACAAAGACAAAGTGTGGATAAATATTAAGCTGGTAACCAAAACAGACTTGGAGCTTTCACTGTCACAAACAATAGCCATATAGATTTTGTTAAAAAAAAAAATACAAAGCTAGCGGTAGGGAAGGGATACCAGCCATTGTCCTGAGGAAATGTGCTCCTGAGCTGGCTCCTGTCCTCTCCAAACTATATAATTACTGCCTCAACGACTCTTGCTTTCCAGCCTGTTGGAAGTCCTCATCTGTTGTACCTATCTTTAGACACCCTGGAAACCTTCTGATCCATCTAACTACCGCCCTATCGGTCTCCTACCACTATTCGGCAATGTCTTTGAAGCTCTAATCAACGCCGAAGTGGTTAAGCACCTTACATCTCTTGATCTCCTCTCTGACAAGCAATATGTTTTCCGCTTTGCCCGATCTACAGCTGATGTGCTCACGACCGTAACTGAATTTGTTTACCAAACACTTCACAATAACGGAGAAGCTCGTGCGGTGGCTCTAGATATCTCTAAAGCATTTGATAGGGTTTGGCATGCCGGCCTTCGAAAGCTTCAGGTATACGGAATTTCAGGACGATTATTTGATTAAATACAATCATTCCTGTCAAACCGTGTAATGAAGGTCGTCCTTAACGGATTCTCCTTCAGTTCCTTTCTCACGAACGCTGGTGTTCCCCAAGGTTCTATCCGACACTACTATTTACTCCTGTCTCAATAACAAATCTGGTATCGCTGATAAAACTAACCTGGCCGTTAGTCTCGAAAAGGACCTCCAATGGGTTGGTGACTGAGGCAGGAAATGGCTGGTTAACTTTAATGCCTCAAAAAAAAAAAAAAAAAAAAATGCTCTTCTTTACTCACCACAGTGAACCCTCCCTACCTCCCATTAGAATGTCTGATGCTCAACTCCACGGGAGCACCTCTTTGCAACTGCTTGGTCTCACACTGTCCGCTGACCTGAGATGGAACAAATACATTGAATCAATAGCTTCATCTATTGCAAGGAAAGTTGGTTCTCTGTGTCGCGCCATAAAGATTTTCTCGCCCGAGTCCATCCTTCAAATCTATAAATCAACCATTCGCCCTTGCATAAAATACTGCCGTCATATATGGTCTGGAGCCCCCTGCTGATCGTCTTAAGTTTTTCGACAAAACCCAGAGACGGATATGCAATGTAGTTGGCCTTGATCTGGCATCTCGTTTACAGTCGCTTTCTCACAGACGTGCCGTCGCCTCCCTCTGTCTTTTCTACAAATGCTTTCACGGTAACTGCTCCGACGAACTACTTTCGCTGGTCCCACCCTTTCACTGTCGAAACGGTTAAATGTAACCGTCTCTTCTACTCCAATAGCTTCATGTCTCTCACTTCCCGTCTGTGGAACTCCCTTCCTCTTACTTGCTTCTCTGATAGCTATAATTTCCAACTATTCAAATGCAATATCAAACGACATCTCCAGATGCCTTGATCTAATTCCCTGTCCTTTTCTTCATCCTTTCCTCTATCACGCCTCTTTACTCTTGCTCCCATTCTCTGTAACCTCTTGCGTGCTAGTGACACTCCCGCCTTGCCCGAGGTGAAAAGCTTAAAAAAACAAACAAAAACATATATAATAAAATATACGCCCCTTTCGTTCTGATATCATAATCTCATCATTCTACCGTCCCGTGGGTCTGTAAGAGGGATGGCCCCACCCATCATTTGACGCCGATGCTCTCCGTAGCTATTTACTACAAGTAACATAGTTTTAGACACAAGGCCACGAATATAGGGCAGATAGTGAAGACCGAACCTCTTCTAATAGTCAGCATGACTAAATCACGAACAATTGTATAAAAAAAACCCGTAAAACTTTCCCAGCACCAGAAGGTATGAGATCGTTCGGAAAAGCAGTCAACCGTTTAATATTAATAAGAAAATAATCCGCGCATTGCAATGTTGCCTTAAGCCTTTAAATATATTCGCCTTGGGACCTCATACACTTAGTGTGGCGACCTCCCACCTCTGCTTTTCATAAAAGTCTGCGTTGTCCTCTTTCGGGATCGCCATCAGCTGCTTCACGATGTTCTGCCTCGTCTCTCATCTTGTGCGCGATCTGAAATCGCTTCTCTTTCGAATTTTAGTTTTACAAAAGGTCAGAAATTGTTGAAAGTTAAATCTGGGCTTTTATGAGGGTGCTGAAAAACCCGAGTGATGCGATATTTAAAAAAAAAATGGAGAAAAGAAGAAAGAAAAAGGAGAAAAAAGACGTATAAAATGGAAAAGAATAGACTTCGATTATAAATGAGACGCTCACACAGAACACAAATTCACTCACGGACGCCCAACTATCAATTTAGTAATTTTCTGAGAGAGTGTATATTCGCGCATGCGCAGTACGCTTCCTCCTTCTGATTGGCAGTTCAGTTACAAAATATTTAAAAATAGCCGGATGTTTCTCGGACAGAACTCGATAACAATCAGAATGGGAGCAGTCGAGCGCTTGTAATCGATTCATGATCGGCTAGTAAGTATTGCATAACTATTCATTAATTTGAGAACTATATAGACTTAAAATATGAAATCTAGAGAATATGGAATTACCAAAGGTACAATTTGTGCCAATCCGATCATTACGAGCAGCGTTAAAGAATTTTGTCTATTGGGTGAAAGCATTGCATTCACTAGTTAACTTTAGTTTTTCTTTCCTGAGATAATAATGGTTTAGTGCTACAAGTCTTAGCCCCAACAGCTACTTAGCACGTAGCTGTTGGGGTGGGAGATGGATGAACCCTAGTGGAATTAGATCTTGGCTCTCCAATTAACAATTCCGAGCCATTATCCATTACACCACTTGCGCAATGAAGCCGAAGTTTGGATTCTCAAGCGTTCACTCATCTAGGTATTGACCAAGCTCGACGTTGCTTAACTTCGTTGATCGTACGGAAACTGGTGTTTCAACGCGACATAGCCGTAAGTCTGTTGAATAATTGGACCGATTCTGCAATTCCGTTGAATTTTGGCTAGTTCTTCGTGCAGATTCTTTACTCGATAGCATTTCCCCGGGTAACTCGAAAATTTAACAACAAGTTCGTTCTATTCTCCGAGGAAATACATTCCCTGAGAGCTAAGCCCAGTTTTATTCTAGTGTATTCTGGCTTGCATTTCCTTGAATGTCCGTAATAAAATCTACACATTTGAATTGGTTTGATAATGCAGTTGTATATTTAATTAAATTACTCCTAGTCGCGTTTGTATTTATTTCGTTTTGTCAGATGCAAAAAAAAAAAAAATTCGTAAAAAAAACACCTCTGTCACGAAACGTCCGCGTCCCCTTATAATCTAAAACAAAACACCCCCCCAAAAAAACGCGGTTCTGCGGGAAGACGAACAACGCCCATATAAGGTTAGTTTAAAATATTTCAATGAAACATGAACGACCCGTATCTTAAATAAATAAAAAGCATTACTTATACATCTGACGTTACTTAGATTGGCACAAGGCCTTAAAAGCCTTACAGTAATTAATATTCCTAAAATATCACCCATTTATATATTAACCAGGTTCCACGTTGATTAACCTCGTTAACCAGGATGAAACCGCTATTTCCAGCATTTTTCTTAAACTCTTTGCTTACTTAAAACCACAGGTTGCTGTTTTCTAAATGCCTTGTCCCTTCAGGACGTGGACGATCATGTCTCTCCACAGTTTCCTTTTCTTTATTCTCTCTGAGTTGCTATGCATTATTGGGAAAGATATTGGAGTGGTATACTACTGCATTCACAACCATTTTTACTACAGAATATTCCTTCTTTCAGACTGGTTGCCACCCAAAGCTAGGGTGCACAGTCTACCATGCTATTTAACCGATAGTTGGGGGAAAAGAGAAAGGTTCATGCCTTTACGCAACAGATGAGGCCGGAATTTGAATTCGGTTGGCCGATTCCATTTTCTTCGCCGATATCCGTTATGCCCCCACCCCTTCACGCATTTACAGTAATTGACATTTCTAATTAAGTTACCCATTTAATCAGTTCCCTTGTTGCTTAACTTCAGTTTCCAGATTTATTGATGGATTCATTTTCTACTCTTTGCAGGTTATTTAAAAACAGAAAATATTTTTAGATTACAATAGTTTTTGAGTGGTGATGGTGTAGTTAGATAATAATGGTTTAGTGATAAAGTTAACCTCTATTTTTACTAATTAATCCATATCTGGGGGAAGAAGAAGAAGAAGAAGAAGAAGAAGAAGAAGAAGAAGTGAATCCATATCTTTTCCTTTGCACATAAGTGAATATAACGAACCCAACGGGAATTGAAACTCGGTTTTCCGATTAATAATCGCGAGCCATTATCCATTACACTATCCACACATCCAAGCTTAGAGCGCCTGGTATACACGTATCCCAAAGCGGTCATCCATCTAGGCACTGACAAGGCTCGACGTTGTTTAACTTCGGTGATCGCACGTGAACCAGTGTTTCTACGTGACGTGGCTGTAAGCCTCAATGTCTACAGAACCGGCGCTTCTATGTTATTCGGAAAACCTGTTACCGGGGATTCAAGCCCTGCAGCAACACCTTCCTCATGACACTAAAGAGTTAGTGGACGTCACTGCGACAATAGTTGCGGGGATCGGCCATATGTCGTCTTTAGCTCACATGTAGGGTAAAGCGGGACACAAAGTAACACGGGGTAAAAAGTAAAACGCGGATTTAGGAGTGAAAGTAACCGCAACGGGGTCTTGTTTTATTTTCTCGTAAGTGTTACTGTCCTTTTCTCGCCTCATTGCTTGGATATCAACGAAAATTAAACAAGGAGGGCAGAATATCCAAAATCGACACATGTCAGTAGAATTTCACTTATTTTCTATATTGGGTATTATAGAAAGACATTTTTATCACCTTGTAGACTGTTTTCAGGGTTTCATTTCATGTTTGTTAAAATAAAGTTGGATTAGAAGCGTGAAGCGTATCAGAGTGACCCCGTTGTCCTAATTTTAGTTGTCACAATTTACCCCATCATGTTACATTGTTTTCCACTGTCTGTTACTTTTTTGCCCCTCTGTTACTTTTTTGGAAAAAAGTAACATTTTACAATTTTCATTTGTTTTCATGTTAAGTCCTTAAATTAAAATGACATCCAGAATAGCTCCTCATCACAATGTTCACTGAACTCTAATGTTCAAGTACAGTTTAAATAACCGCGTATGTCTTTAATTTTATGGTCGGTACGGTAATTTGAAAAAAAAAGGGTGTTACTTTGTTCCACGCTTTACCTTACGCGTATGGATACCCAATATTAAACTGACCTTCTGTCACATCCTTACAACGTGTCGGAGATGGATAAATATCAACAATGTTATCGATGACTTGTTTTAAGAACAAAGCTTTGACAATTCTGTATCCGGTTCGTGGACGTGGTACAAACTTCCAGAACTTTTGCGTAAGACTTGTGTATTCTGTTGTATTGTTATGACTTTTTAGTGTGCTGTAAAGACGGGGATAAAATCTAGTTATTCTAATGCAAGGGTCGGCAACTCATTCGACTCCACAGGCCGGATCGTGTTATAATGACGGGTCACGGGCCGGACGAAGGCCATTAATGAAAAATTAAGGGAAATTACATATGCAGACCCCTGTCAACCTAAATATTTAAAACCATAATGAAAATAAACATTGAGAAATCAGAAAAAACAAAAGAAAATCTAAAATTAAAAACACCTAACAAAAAAATGACTTTTCCTCAAGGAACGTCAAAATACTTCAAAGTGAAAAAAATCAACCGAAGTGAAATGGATGAAATTATGACGTGTAGGTTTGAAACTGTTATTGAAAATTGTTCCACAAACGAACCACACACACACACACACACACACACACACACACACACACATCAAACAAAAACGAAGCACATATACCCATACATACGAGTACAAATAGTTGCAAACATATACACTTACGTACGTACACATGCGGTATCATCCACACATTCATGAGGCATGTATGTATAATGCGCGTATGTTTAACTGTCTTTAGATTTCTGCTACCTCGCATGTCAGTCCCTCCCAGGCCTCTTTCACTTTATTGTTCCTTTCGCTTCTGTTATCTTTTAATGTAGCCAAGGGTCATAACAAATATGTATCCATTATTTGACATTAAACCTAGGCAACGCAACTTGGTAAAATAAGTCTCATGAAAGATAACTGGCAGATAATCTAATTCGAAAGCCCCGTCTCTCATGTTAAAAATAGAGTCATTGGTAATCAGGCCCGCGGGCCGGTTAAAATGCCTTCGCGGGCCGGATGCGAACCGCGGGCCGTAGGTTGCCGACCCTTGTTCTAATGCATGACCTGGGATTTGAGTTTATGGATACGAGTCTCGGGAAAGAAGAATGGCACGTCAGATATATCGCTGCGTGGCATCGAAAAGCGATAACCGAACCATGCACACAGTGAGAAAGTTCCAGCGCACACATTGTAGGTTAATTTCGTTCTATAGCATTGTCTAACAAAGAAAACAAACAAAAAAATATCCGTTCTAATTTATAAATTAACACCTCTCCGACAGTACCCAACTTTGCAGAAGAATCCCCCCACGATAACCTCCATTTTCCGCTTGACGCGCCTCCTCTCCCGACATCACGCCCACACCCGCAAAAAAGAAATCTACCCATGTTCAAATAAGTCATTTTTACTTGCCCAACTCATGTCGACTCGCCGGCCAACATCTTTTTTCTTATTCTTCGGCGAGGCTATCAGGAGTGACACGACAAACACTCATCTCAAAAATATCTTTATCTGGGATCAAATACCAAGCCCACAGCCTGATTCCTATCTCCTTCGCTTGCTGTCCAAAATTAATACTTACTAAACAACGCTGAAAAAGAATAAAGGGTCTTTTGTTTTGGCAATAATGATACAAGTCTTCAATCTTCATCTCCTCGCTGCGAAGTGAGTGCTTTACTTAAGGGTTATATACAAACAAATGTATACTGCTCATCTCAACTCAAAATGGCTCAGTACTGGGGCAGTATGAATCACTAATAATAATAATAATAGTAATAATAATTGTCATTACGTTACTTTGTCCATTAGACCTATATCAGTCATTTATGTGCCGAGCGTTATACACGCTTTCGGTACATGACTGACGAGGTAGATTTTTCCCGCAGTAGGTTGCCATTTCTTTCTGCAATGGCCATCCAAGGCTATAGAACCCAGTCTGTCATGCTATTTACCCATAACTGGAGGTGGGGAGAAGAAGAGGATTCATACCTCTCCCAAGGTTATTAGCACGTAAGTGAATATAATGGATTTGACTGGAATTCGAACTCGGCTCTCCGATTCCTCAATCTAAGCCGCTTTCCATTACTCCAACATGCCTCCATCTATATATACTAGAAAAGACCACCCCCCCACACCCATTTTATCTCTGGTGGCAAATTTTGTACTACTTGAGAAAATAAATATTACGATCAAAGTGTAATACCTGTTTTTATCGACTTAATCTGATTCTCTCTCTCAATTTCTATCTTCCCTTCCTTCTTGTTTATTTCTTTCTTTTTCTCACTGAAACCAAGTAGTGTCTTTTCCCTTCTTTCCACGTGATCAAAACGGAATAGTCCATTTTTATGAGGTACTGCCAAGGCGTGACGGTCGTGCGAACTAACGAAGGGAAGCACATGCACATTTACAATAGGATGCTAAACGTTATTTTGTGGATACCCATGTTTGAGTATTACTAAAAAAAATAAATGAAAGATGCCTTGTATTGATTAATTAGGTTTTTTACGGTTTATCAACCCTTTGCTGTACAATCTCCTCACAGACCTGAAGCAACAAAAGAAACGTGGTTCTACAGGAGGATGTTGAGAATACCATAGAACGAACATGTGAGCAATGACGAAGTTTTAGAGAAAATGGAAACATGTTATATAGGAATGAAGTGTCGCTGCCGACACTTGAGTTTGAACA